AACCATTTGTACAGTATGCAAAGCTAAAAGCCCATGAAGTTACCCACACCGGTGTGAAACCGTACCATTGTGACCAATGTGGGAAAGCCTTCAGCTACATTTCCTCCCTAAACACTCACCTACGTGTCCACACTGGGGAGACACCATACAGATGTGACGAGTGTAGGATGAATTTTACAACTTCAGCTTCCCTGAAAGAACACCAACGGATCCACGCCAAAAAGTGGCGCCACAGCGAGGTATGTAAAGACTGGTGTCAGTAATGCTGTACACAATATTCTACATTTGGATATTTCACTGTGCATTGAAATTTGGTGTCCAACTGTTTTGAATAACTGTGGTCAGTCCAATGAACACATTATGAGCTGTCATTCAGTCTAACCTGTACTGACTTTGACCCAGAAATCTGGTCCAGTTTAATCTAGGAATGTAGGTAAAATTGGGAATTCTGGCGTGATCAGTATCAGCACAAACCTGTTCTCAACACTTTCTTTAAACACATAAACGTGGAAAGACATCACAACAGTGTTAAATATTCTGTTGGGATGTTGCATGTCTATTCTATATGAATCCAGCTTCATTTATCACTTTTTTGCTGGCGTCATGTCAATGAGCCTCATGCAAGTCTCTGGAAAGGAATGTCTGGAATGACCTGCGTAGCCTGCTGCCACCTTGATTCGGTTCTTGATGTCAGCGTTGTGTGCTTTACATTTCACACACTGATCCAATAATGGAACTTAGCAAAAGTGTGAGGATCAACAGATGTTGGTGGTACAGTCCCATCAGTCCCTGCTCTACTTTGCACTTCATGGTGTTTGAAAATGTTACTATCCTAATATGCTAAAACTACAATTGAGTAGATTGAAGACTATGGACCAGTGAAACATATCATGCTTCCATTGTGATGGTGTTAGCATGGCAACGCGTATAATTCTGATTTATTGGTAAAAAAAAAAAAATGTCATGATTGCATTTCACTCAATGCCTGTGTTTGTATCTTTGTCTGTTGCTACAGAAACATGAAAGCGAGCAAGGAGTGAGACGTGTGGACTGTAAGGAGGATGACAAAGGTTCCCCAACAACAGCCAACAGAGATGAATGGTTCAGTTGTGAGCAGTGTGGCAAGAGTTTTATCACAGCAACAAAGCTAAGAATTCACCAACGTAATCATACTGGGGACAAACCATACAGCTGTGACCAGTGTGAGATGACTTTTGTTAACGAGGCTAGGTTAACAAGACATCAACTCATCCACAGTGGAGTTAAGCCGTTCAGCTGTGACCAGTGTG